CTTCCTCCCTCGGAACGGCTAGTGGTTTCCAACTGTCGACCTTCCCGTTCACAGCCCCCATGCTGCCCACTGTGCCACCAGGACCCCTTTTCTGGGTCCCAGTAGCATATAGATCACTCTGACGTGACATGCTTATAATTGTATTTCCTAAGCAGATTTGTAGAGAGATCGAACTAATGTTGAATTCCCTAGAATCCACTATAGGGAGAGTATATAGTATGAGGAAGTACAGAACGGTATTCATAGATTTCCTAAAAAATGCACCGAGAAGAGAGATTAAGACAAAGTTGCTGATAGTATTCCCCCACCTCTGAAATAAACAGGTTATGAACTATTTGTTGCTAAGAAAAGAAACTACAGTCTTTAGGGGGGATTCAGTATGTGAACAGAATAAGAAATCTATTGACCCCATTCAAATTTAATTTCATTCATCTGGTATTCCTGCTGTAAAATAATTTCATAAAATTTCCTCTCACTCTTTAAAATGAATTCCAATGAATCTAGTTTAAAAATTGTAAAAGTTGATGTAGGGGAAAATCCAAGAAAAACAAGACACTCTAAAGGAGAAATGCGAAACCAATTTCATAACTAACTGTGAGTTCTCAGACATTTCTTTAAACATCAACCACAGTCAATGCGCCCGACACCATGGAAGAGTAGGGAGTAGCGGCCACAGCAACCGGAAGGCCCTGCTCATGCTGCCATGCCATAGATGCAGGGCTGGGACTCTCCGTCTTTTGAACGGAGACCACAGCTTGGATCAGCATTTCTCTCCTGGCCTGGGAAAACATTCCCAGCTCAATGATACAATTCAGTTACCTGCACAAAGCCGCAAGCTGTGAAGTCCTGGAACAAGGGCAGACTTGGGCGGTCTTCTCTGTAAATGGTGAGTCTATACACGGTCAGAGTTTCGCCCTGTGCAGGAGAATCATCCACCACAAGCATTGAGATTGTGTTCATCCCCAAGCCCAGAGGGTAGTTGGCCAAACTGGAGGGAGGCGGGTGGGGAGGAGGAGGAAGAGGAGAGAATGAAGGGAAGGGGGAACAAAAAAGGAAGAGGGGGGAGAGAGTGAGGAGACACATATTCAGTCCACCTGGACTCATTCTACATATATTAAACCAATTTGCGTAGAAAGCAGGCAACATATGTGCAACTACATAAGAAATCCTATGCGTGAAAAGCTACCTCTGTATAAGGTTTAGCTGGGTCAGGAATCACTTGACAGAGCAAATCACGCTCTCCATCAACTAAAGGAGAGACTCATAAGTCAAATGAGTGGCTGTAGAGTAGATTTTGATCCTGGCAATCTCGTGCAGGTTAGAGAAAGCTGTGCCCTTTAGGGATCGATGGTGAATTTTTCAAAAGTAGATCAGCAGGCCTCTCTTCCAATGTGCCTCACAGTGACTATATATGATAGGGTCGAACTGTCCCCTGGGGCTTGCCAAGACGGTAACTCTTTATGGAAGCAGAAAGCCTCATCTTTCCCCCTTGTAGAGGCTGGGGGTTCGCAGTCCATTGCATTACCAATTACACTACCTGTGCCCCTCACTCCCCTTTTGAAGGCAGTACCAAATGCCTGACCCCATTACAATGACTACATTCACCCCCATCAGCATGCCCATACCTTGGCCCTCCCCTCTCAGACAGGTGCACTGTGCACTGACACCTAGAAGTCTCCGCTCCAATTGTCACTGTGACCACATCAAATGGGACTTCTGAGTAATAATCTTTGATCCTTGCATGGAATTCAGGGTTTAGTTGCAAACGTGGATGTGTAAAGATCTGACTGATATGACAGAGTGTATATTGATCTGTTAAGAAACAAAACAAAAAGAAACAATGACAAAAATATATAATGGTGAAATGGATAAACATTTAGAAATCATAGATAATTCAGATTTTGTGTTGCTTTCTCCCCCTTGGTAGGGATCCCTGCTGCCTTCCACTCGGCACCTGGGCCACCGCT